CCCAATTGTCAGATGTGGCTGAGGACTTTATGTACTACTTAGGACCACGCAAAGATGTTAACGACCCAGCATTTAACGAGTAAGCCAAAAATAGTCGAACCTTTTCTTTTAGCTAACATTCCCCATCTTAGCAAAGACATAGCCTCTGCTATTTTTTTTTGCAATTTGCGGGTCTCTATGCTGCTGAGGGTTTATTTTGAAAAAAAAAAACAAACAGCCTTTTATACTTTCAGAATTGTAAAAAAGTCTATTAACGTCGCGTTCTTGTTGCCTTTGAAAGCCTGGAAAATCATATTGATTGCATCAAAAAAATAAATTTGATTGAAACCGTTTTTCAAAAGTTTTTAACTGTATCCACTTTTTTGAGTTATTATGTATCCACTTTTTGAGTTACCTGTTTTAGTAAAAACAGGTAGTATGAAAAGTTATTGGGACCGGGATTTCTTATATTTATGTGTGAAGACGCTTTGCCAAATTTTTTTCACGTATTTTAAAAAACTTATTTTTCTCAAAAAGTATTCTATCGATTTTAAAAAAAGTAGTGCCGAAAAAGTCTGTGCGAGGAATTCTTGAAACATATTTTTGGATTTTGTTCATTTTTTGGGCTCCCAAATCTGATATTTTGGGTTCAATGTTAGAAAAAAATTTGTAGGAAGTTCCCTTGCATTAGCGGTTTTGCCCAATTTTTTTTACACAAAAAGTTATGGCCCTCCGAAAAATCAAAGTTTCGAGTTTTTGCTGTTTTTCAATTTTTTTTTGACTTTTATCGAAAAATACTTGCGCCAAATCTGAATTTTTAGTCTCATTGTGTAGAATGGGTTAAATGAAGCTACCCTATATAAGCGGTTACGTCCAAACTTTTAAACACAAAAAGATCTGACTCCAGGAAAAGTCAAGTTTTCGAATTTTTGACTGTTTCTTAAAACTTTGATTTGCTCGATAACTACACTCCCAATTCTGAGACTTAAGGTTCAATGGGTAGATCAGGTTCTGTGAAGTTTTATTGCATAACAAGTTACGCTCAAAATTTTTTACACAAAATGTTTTGACCCTCGAACAAGACAAGTTTTCATTTTTTTAACCGTTCAAATCAGGAATTTTGGACTCAATGAGTAAAACGGGATGTGGGAAGTTCCCTTGCATAAACATCTTTGCCCAGATTTTTTATCAGAAAAGTTTATGGCCCTCAGAAAATTCAAATTTTTGAGTTTTTGAACCTTTTTTTCTGAAACTTCTGGAATTTTCTCGAAAACTACCCTCTCGAATCTTAATTTTTGATTTCAATAAAGAACACGAGTTGTGATAAGCTCATCTGCACCAGCGGCTACGACCAATATGTTTATACAAAAAGTAATGGCTCTCGCAAAAGTCAAAAATTCAGTTTTTTCTAATATTTTAAAATTTTTTGACTACTCTCGAAAACTACCCTGCCAAATCTGAGGTTTTGATTTCAGTTGAAAGAACTCATTGTGGGAAGCATTTAGATCCAAACTTTATAGGATAAAAAAGTGACCCTCGCAAAATCATATTTTTGATTTTCGATCGTTTTCTGCACCTACTGACTTTCATCAAACACTCCAACCCAAATCAGAATTTTCGAATTCAATCAAAAGGACGGGTTGTGGGGAGCTCATCTGCATAAGAAATTTTGAATTTTTGACTGATTTTTCAAATTTTTAGCTTTTTCTCAAAAGCGGCTCTCTCAAATTCAAGATTTTGTTTTCATTGGGTAGAATGGGCAATGAGAAGCCCACTAAATAAGCGGTTGCGCCCAAATTTTTTCACACAGTAATTTATGACCTTCGGAAAAGTCAATTTTTTGATTTCTTGTTCGTTTTTTTTATTATTTTTTGGTGTCCTACAGAACACAAATCAATCTGATATCAAGGGTTTATTCGACACTACAGGTTGTGGGAAGCCTCTTTGTATAATTTGGTACGCCCTAATATTTGTTTGAAACAGTTTTGGTTCTGGTAAAATAGTAAAATCACAAAATGATACCAAACATTTTAATAGAGCTACAACTAGGTTTTGGGTGAGGCTCATACATCATCACATCAAACTAAAAAGTTATCAAATAGGTACCTCAGCTCTTGGGCCTCTAGTTCCCGAGTAACATAGTAGCTTAATAATATTTCCGTTAATAGCACCGCTCACAGTTGGCAGCAAACGTTCATAATACAAAAATCATTGTGTACGGGATACTTCTTTGTGACTGGTTGGTGGTATAACGTAAAGGTACTGAATATATGTATGGATAAACTTTCGAGCAGCTTTTCAAACAATCAGATTTGAACACTCTGGCAAAAAACTCCTGCCGCTAGAAAGGAGAAATCCGACAACGAGTATTTTGAATGTTTCCTGTTTGATTTAAACACTTACTTTGAAATTGTATGCGATATGATTATTTTATTTTTTCTATTTTTGAGAGGCTTTGAAAACAATTTCATTTTTTCCATTTTTTTTCTCAGAAACTAACTACTCTATCAATTGTTAAGAAAAGGTACACCAACAGCCTACATACCTAAGTGCCTGCAGCTTACCCCAGGCTCTTTTCACCTCACCCTTACATTCTTCAAAATTCTGCATAATGAGCATTTTGCGACTAATACTGGATTTTGCAGCAGGCTGAAATCAAATTTGTCGCGCAACCGGGGTCCTTGCTAATTTTTTGATCTCCTCTGGATTCCACAAAAAATAGTCGAAACACTGCGTTGCTTAAATTTGCTTCAAAGCAGACAAAAGTGCAGGTTTCGCAACAAATCTTGCAAAATCCGCCACAAAATTTGTTGAACCCCGATCAGTTTGAAATCCACAAACAAACAATAATATAAAAGTATACTGAAATAGCGCTGTAGTGGATTCCGCAACTATCAGTGGACTCCACAAACTGTTAGCAGAATCCGCAAATTGTAAGCGGAATCCTTGAACTATAAGCGGAATCCGCTAATTGTAAGCGGAATCTGCAAATTGTAAGCGGAATCCATATAAATTTGTAGAATCCACTTTTATTTGCGGAATCCGCTTGGGCTTACGTAATCCGGAACAACTGGCTAATTTCAGTCGTTGCGGAATCCACGCACAAAAATTGTGTCGTCAAAATTTCCGTTATAGGTGTTTTTGCGCCGAATCAACGAAATGCTGTAATTGCAATATACGTACTTTTTCGAAAATTTAAAGACTTGTCTCTGGATTCCAGTGACCTACGGACATCAATTTCTGCGCCTATCCGGTGCACAGTTTGACCTCGTAATGGTGTTGTTATTTTAACTTGTCATTGCAAAATGAAGTCTCACGCAAATTTTCACGACAATTAAATTTTGTTGACAATGGTAAAAAGGTCAAGGCCTAATTATTTAATAAGACAACTAACTTACGGGACTGGGATACAATCTTCTTCCAAAAAGTCGATTTCGGCGACAGGGTTCTACTTCCAAAACTGGAGACAAAAAATTGGGAATATCTTGATATCTTGAAACTCAGCAACTTGCAACTTTTTGAATTTATTTTATGATTTTTTTTAAGAACCAACAACTATCTTTATTTTGATGAAAGTATTTGGTTTTTTTCTGATGTTTGGAAGCCTTATATTTCTCGTTACTAACAAGCAAGACTGCTCACATCAGGGGGGTGAGACACTTTAGTGGTTCGACTGCTCTATAAAGTGTTTGCTTAGAAGTCAATTTGCACGGAAACAACATTTTCAAATTTGTTTTCAAAGAAAACAACCTGCTCTTGTCATAGCGGCGCGTTGACTGATCTGATTGTTCTTTAACTTCAATAATTTTTTCTTTCAATTATGGAAGTTTTCGGAACTTTTCAAAAAGTTGAGGAATGATATCAATTTGGCATCAAGGTATTAAGTAAGTTGTAAGTACTTTGAGAGCCATCAAAAAACCCTGAGTATTTAATTAGCCTGAAAAAATTGCGCGTTAGTGCACCGATTTACCAATCTCTAAACGCTTGAACATATTGAAAGAAACAGAAGTTTTTCAATTTTGAGTAGAGTTTTGAAGGTAAAAATTATCAGATGGTTTTTACTTTTTTTCGAGAATGGCTGGTTAAACTGTGAGAAATAATCGGAAAAAATCAGAACAAGAATTTTTTTTCTTACTTTTACCTTATCAAAAAAAGAACCAAGAAATTATGTTGAAACAACTGTTTTATTCAAAAATTTATCATGAGTCTTTTGAATTGTTTCGAATGTAAAAACGAAATTACTTAAACAGTTACTTTAATAACTTTCAAATTGGCACGTTTCTTAAATGCATAAACACCATTTTTTCTAAATGTACAGTCACGGACAATATAAGGCGCAACTTTTATTTTTAAGCGGGAAAATGAACCAAATTTGATCTCAGTTCACGGTTAAAAAACTTTAAATGAAACTATTTTTAAGACAGTAGATGGATAAAAAACCGTAAGAAATTAGTTTAAAGGTGATGTTTGGCCATTTAATTAGAGGGCGTCAGAGAAGTGTTCTTATTGTCAAAAACTCCCTGTAAACAGCACAAGCAGTTTAAACCTTTGGACTCAAAAATACTCGCTGGAAAGCTAAGAACATCAGCTAGGCCCTCATTTAGTTTATACTTCGCATAAAAAGAATTAAAGACTTTTTTAAAGATTTTAGACACAAGTTCGGCAGTTTATATATTAGAAAGCACACCATGGGTTTTTTTTTGTTTCGTACCTGAGTTGTTTTGATTGTTCCCTTTTAAGCAGAGAAAAACTAAAACGAGGGCCTAGCTGATGTTGTTAGCTTTCCAAAGAATACTTTTAGGTCCATAGTTTCACACTGCTTATTCTGTTTACGGTGATTTTTCGGCGCTAAAAAGACTTCTCTCTCGCCCTCTAATTAAATGGCCAAACGACCCAATAAAACCACTTTTGTTCCAACTCTTGTCTACAAAAAAATTTGAAATGAAATATGTCAGTTTTTTAACAGTGAATCTTTATTAATTGCAGAACATGCTTTTTTTGTCAGTGACTGTTTTAAACTCTAAGTTTCATTGAAATTCAAATTATTGTGTTTAAATAATTTTACACTTTAGGTCAAAAACGCATTTTGACGATTTGATCGTTAGAATTAATTGTTTCCACTCAAAAATTGTTGCTTGAGGTTTAGGCACCATTACTGAGCCCAGTGAAAAAAGCCAAAAAAATTGCATTTAACTCTTAAGCGGGGGTCAACAGCGGTTCTCCATATAACGCTGCACAACTCGTATGCTGGCTCTTTCACAAGTGAATAAATTAGTCCAAGTAGCTATGCTACTAAACAAAAAACAAAAAATATATTCACAAACAAAAACCTGTACTTTTGATAGGAATTTCTTTTCACAAAACATCTATTGAATTGACAATCAAACGGACAAAATGTATACGAATTGAACAGTTTAACAAATCTTCTAGTATAACAGAGCCAAGCTTGCACCTTACGGCCAAAATGAAAGCTTTTGGTAGAAACATTGTAAAAATAGTCAGAAAAATCCATTATTTCCTCATTTTATCCCCCACACATAAAATGAAGTTTAAAGGGATGTACTAAGCCTCTCGTATTCTGAAAATTTGACCAAATGATTCCATAAATTAACTTAACGGTTTAATTTGTCACTAACGTTGTTATAAATACGCAATATATTACGCGTTGATTATTCCAAATTAAAAAAAATGCAATTTTCACTCACCATTTATTTTTGAAAAGGAATTTCAGATGATTTTTATTTACACGATAGCTGAAGGCAATGTAAAAAACTTCCGTCGAAAACAGCAAGCTAAAACATCACAAATTGACTATATAAAAATCCGACAATGCATAAATATTTTGTTTCCAGATATAATCAAAAAAGAAACTGGAGCATTGCTTTTTTTGTTCCAACTTTCGAAAAAAATCTCGAAATATTTGTGCTCGGGATGATTCCAGACAAATTTAACGTGTTAACTAGCGAGTTTTGACATAAATTCTTAAACAACAGCCGAAATAAAATAATCTGTGATCCTTTTTTGCAATTTTTTAGAGATTGAAAATTGCTCATTTGGTTTTGCTGCCTTGAGCATAAATTTAGCAAGATAATTGACAAGTGTCGTTTTTCGTCATGAGGTTTATAGATTGTCAATTTGGCCAATTTGGGATAACTAACTGGCGATATATTTTGTGCTATCAACACGTTAGCGGATATTTAATTCGTCTAAGAAATCGTTCCAAACTGAATTGGGGCAGGATGTTTGATCTTTTCAAACTGAAACGCCTAATTTATCACTTCTTACTTAGCATAGTTTGTGGAGGATGGTTTTTACAAAAAAATTCTCTCATTTTCTTTTGAAAATCTCATCAATTTTTGTTGAAGCGAACACTACTCCTTATACCTTAAATGGCAGTCGGAACATTCAGGGCTTTGCCTTGATACGAGCAGTCTTGTTGTTGCTTAGCTCACGTTTTTTGGGGTTTATAGCTGATTAACTTTTGTAGGTTTCTTGATAGTATTTTAGTAAAAATAGAATATGTTGATGAAAAAAAGATGAACTTGATTCTTGTCTAAATGTAGAGACAACTGGGATATGGGCAAACTTGCAGAGGAGACGGAGGAGCACGTTTTGACGGAAGAAGAGCTTCGCTATGCAAATTGGGCACTGGCCAATCGAGCTAACCTGGACGCCGCGCCTCCACCACCTGCAATGCGCCCAGGAGAGTACCACTGCCGACCACAGTGAGTACCGAGTCGAGAATTTCGACATTTGAGCGGTCTAAGCGGTTCTTGCTGTGATTTGACCTTTTGTGAACGGTTTGCAAACCAAAAAAAAATTCCCGCAAAAATTGTTTCTTACAATGATTTTAGCGGTTTTGAGCGGTATGATCGTTTCTTGCGAGGTTTTGAGCAATTTTGAACAATTCGATCGTTTCTTGCGAAATTTTGAGCGTTTTTAAAACGGTTAAATAGTTTCTCGCGAAGTTTTGAGAGTTTTTGAATGCTTAGGTCATTTCTTGTAACGATTTTGAGCGGTTTTGAACGGTTCGATTGTTTTCTTGCGATGATTTCAGCGATGATTCTTGTGATGGTTTTCTTGCGATGAATTACCGAGCTCAAACCGAGCGGCTTGAGCGCGATTGTCTTAAAAAACCTGAGCGTCTTGAGCGGTTATTGAGCCGGATCTCGACTAGTGGAACCAATTCAAAACAACTGTTTATTTTATCCTTTTATACTCTTCATAAACTATCTCTGTTAAATACTTAGAACTAACCAATCATGATCCAAAGCTTACAATTATAATGATTTGTGAGGCTAAAACTATTTATAAATAATAAATTAATTAATAAATAACCAGAATAAATTTAACTGAGCAAACAGATGCCCTTCCTAGAACAGTTCTTGATATTAAGCTTCGCAAATACCAGCTAGATCTTTTCAGACTACGAGATTAAAGAGTAAGATTAAGATTGGTATTAGACTAAGAAATTGCACGAATCTCTCAGGCCTAAAATAAGATAGCGTAACGAACAGACGACCGTGAACCTTATCTGAAATTACTCACTGTCCGAGCCACCCGGACTCAAACTCACTAGGTTGGTTCAGTTTCAAGAGTAGCTAATAAATGTAATCCAATTTATCACAAGTTACACATCTGTTTCCTTTTTCTTCACACGCTCTCGATAAATTCTTACTTATAATGACTTTCGTTATAACGTATTAATTGGTGGCTTACCTCAGGCTTCAGGGGGGTCTAGAACAACAAGCCGACGGGACTTCAAGCCGAAGGGACTTCAGGCCGAAATTTAAACTTTACATACACCTCAAATCACTATTTTTTATCTGTGAAACATTGCTTATAAAAAATTTAGGCAAAGTCTATACCAGAATAAGCGTTATTCATGATAAAAAATTCCTTATGATTGGAATCCGTTAATAGAATCAGCCAGTTTTTCAAATGCATAAATTATAAACAAGAAAGTTGCCTTCAACCGTGTTTTAATTTTCAACTTTCATAAACATCATTAGGAGGCTTAATTCTTATGAAAACGCCAATAACTACTGAAGAAAGATCATAAAATTGAGTAATTCTTCAAAAACGTTTCCAAATTCATCATATTTCATGACTTGATGGGAAAAAATTCGGCTTGAAGTCCCTAATTTTACGATTTGGCTTCAGGTCCCGTCGGCTTGATGTCCGGCACCCGCTTGAGGGATCGAATGCTTGAAATTAACTTTCAGCCAATCACTTTCAGCTTGCAATCACTTTCAGCTTGAAATTAATTTTCAGCTTACTTTCAGCCAATCAGAATTGAGTATCGTTAAATCTGAAATTTAAGTATCAGCCAATCAGATTTGAGTATCGCCAATCAGAATAGTAAATCTCGAAATCTCA